AATGGCTTCTACAGCCAACTGAATGTAGAAAACACAAAAATTATTACATGTGACCCATCACATCGAAACGAGGATTAAGTCCAAAAGTGATAAATGGAGAAATAGGCAAATATAGTGTTTTGACTAAAATGTTAAGAAAACTTGCATGTTGTCAAAACATAATGAATAAAAAGCCTTATCAATGAATCAGTTGAATGAACTGTCTGAAATATAATCATAAAACAAAAATTCGAAGCATTTTTTTAGCAGTAGCAACAACAAAAAAAAGGATTTCGAGGAAAAATGCCTTAAAATTTGACATTTTCCCTGTGAGYTAGCAAAGTTTTGTTTCTATTTAGCTGGTAAATCTCAACATTCAAATATAATGTGAGGTTTCCTCTTTATAAGGACAGCAAAAATTCCTCATGAAAATGACATAAAATTAGGATTCAGACCAAATATTTATGTATTATTGTAACCAACAAGACAAATCAAGTCATATGTATGGATTTAATTATGATAAGATGATCCAGGTATCAAAATGTAGCTTTTAAAGCCAAGAATCTGAAATTGTAATGAGGTCATTTTGATCAAATTTGACTTAATCCTCATTTCGACATGTTGGGTCACATATATAGAATTTATTTTGTTTTTAAATTATTCAACTTGAATTAATAAAAAAAAAGTGACTTAAAGATCCTAACAGAAAATCACTTATTTCAGATCAATCACTCATTATGTARATGATTTGAACTGTCTGGCTTTAAAGTGGAAGTAGCCTCTTTTAAATCATTTTTAACATTTAAATCCTTCATTCTGGGCTCTATAGAAAGTAGAACTGTAAACTGTAACTCCACAAGCCCCTCCTAGTGACTCCAAGTGCAACAAAATGTATTTAAAGGCTAAAACCCTTATTTTTGTACGATACGTAGACTTTAAAAGTTATGATGTAGGTATTCCTGTTTAAAGGTTTCTCTACAAATCAAGCCATCAGCTCCCGTTTCGTTATCTCCTTTGTTTTTGCTGATAGTGCAGAAATCAAGGTCGTAAACAACATCCAGTTGTGCTAATCCTGTCAGAGATCAGGGCTGGTTTTCTCCATCCTCTTAACGCTCGGCACCAAAATAGGTTTATTATCAAAAACAAAAACAGCGGTTTAAAGGAAAAAGACGTGGAGCTGTTTGGACACCTGTTCTGATCTGGTGTCTTATTATGGGAGGTCTGGTTTAACACTGGGTGTTATTGTGTAGGCAGGACAATGGGACACACTGGTTGAACAATCAGCAGGGAGCGGAGTGGATCTTCGCTCAACATGATGTGCAAAGAGTGGGTCAGATTTTTTTAAATGCTCACCAAAATAAAAGCGTATCAGGCAGCCGATGTCCGGGTTCAAGCCCTCCTCCTGCACCCTCCACGCCTCCTCGAACCCCAGGTCGGACAGGTAATCGTTCAGGATCTGGAGGGGTCGCTCGCCGTCGCCCAGCCGCCTCACCGCCCCGCCGTGCAGCTGGAGCATGAGGGCCGGGGTCGGGCTGGGCTGGGCGGGCTCGGCCCATCCCCTCGATGCCGCCGGGGTCTCCTGGCTGGTGAGGGGCCGGGTCTGAGAGCTGCCGGGGCATTTGTTGAGGGTTGGTTTGACGGTTTGTTCGCCGCCGCCGCCGGGGAGGGGGTCCGACGGGGGCGGGTCTGCAGCAGAGTTGTCAGTTGAATGTGATGGAGAGGAGGTGAGCTCAAGGTCGTCCGAGGAACTCTCGAAGGGGTCGGGTCCCTCAGGGGGGCTGTCGCAGCTCATCGCAGACGAGTCCAGGCCCAGAACCAGGCCCTCGCTGAGCGAGTCTGGGTTCTCCGTGCTCCTGGGTGCACCTGGGCTGAAGTCCTCGCAGGTGCTGCTCTCCATGTCAGAACCAGAATACGCTCCATAGCAGTCCGCCGCCGTCTGACCCAGATCAATGTCGTTCAGACAGATCTCTGAGGAAGAGCTGCTCCCAGTTTTATCATGAAGAAATAAATTATTGGGAACTTTAAGGTCAGAGAAACACTTCTCATGTTCCTCACATTTCAGGTTTTTCACATCCAGAGCGTCACAGAGTCCGTTATCATCTTTACTGAGCTGGTTTGGGTCAGGTGGGTTAGGTTTACAGTTTATTCTCAGCACAGCTCCAGATTTGCTCCCCTCCAGCTTACAGGCCACCTCTCTGGCTGTGGTGTCCAGGGTGCAGAGCACCGGGCGGGGGTAGGAGGGCGTCAGCCAGTCGTGGACGTGGACGCAGCCCCTCCGGAGGTCCGACCTCACCCACGACCTGTCGGCGGCCTGCAGCTGCTTCGACTGCTTCTGCCGGAGGAAGGTTTTCCTGTCCAGGCTGAGGGTGCTCAGCGGCGAGGCGGAGGAGGGAGCCGGGCCGGCCGCCTCGGCGGACGCCCCGGGCGGGGAGCCGGCGCTCGTCGGCGGAGCCCCCAGGGACAGGTTCCGCTTGTGTCGGTGCCGCCGCCGGTTCAGCAGCGAGTTCACGGAGGCGCTGCTGCCCGCCGACGTCAGGCTGTAAAGGTTGCCGCTCTTCGCCGAGCCGCCGGTCGCGTTGGCCACCTGGTTCTGGTAGATTCCGTTCCGTATCGCGATCTGGAGGAGGGAGGTGGCCGCGAGACCCTTGCCGAAGAGTTTCGCCTCGGCGCCCCCGCCCGCCTCGTCCTCCCCGACGGAGGGTCTCTTACCGGGGGACAGCGGCGACAGTCCGCTCGGCTTCGCCGGGTTACCGCCGGACTCCGGTGGTAAAGTCGCCCCGGACTCGTTCTGCTTCCCGCTTTCCATCATTAGCTTAACAGCCTGCAGGTGAACGCTGCTCGGGGGGTTAGCTTCCAGCCGTTAGCTCCGCGTTAGCTTAGCATGCTAAGGTACTGCGTAGTTCTCCCGCAGAGTTATCCCGCTACATCATCCCATTTCACCAGAAGCCCGTTAGCTCTCTAATAGGAGCTAACCGGCTGGCGGAGCGAAGAAACCGGAGGTTTTTGTTTTAACCGGTCGCCATATACGCTAACAGACGACAAGGCGCGGACAGACACGGTTCAACCCCGAAGAGTCTGACGGTCAGCGGGTATAATGTGGACAAGGGCGGGGTCTCATTGGATATGAATTATGACGCGTTTAAGTGCCAAAACATGGCTCGGAAACTTTCGCTGTACTCAAATTACACGCTGCAAGTTCAAGTAGCGTGTATTTAAACAAACATTAATCAGATTAATTACACAATAAAGCAATTAATTAAAAATGTATCTGTATGAGTTATGATCAAAAGTCTTGCATTATTTAAGTGACCACGTATYTCATCAACACATGGTTCTTCTCTCACTGTTGGATTTTACGAGCTTAAAAGTGACACCGAAGGCACCATGGCGTGMAAATACAGTAACACGTTCTGAAACAGGTGGGAATTTAACCACCAACCGTGATCTTCCTTGCTTTAGTCTTCTGAAACTATACAAATCACTCAAAAAAACTTTTTCTTATTAGGCTAGTTTGAAAAATGATGTTGGATTGCTGGGTTTTCTTGTGTAAAAACACATTAAACTCGTACACGGGCGCCATCTGATGGACAGAAAGCTGCATTACCACGGCAAAAAAATAAAATTGTAATAGTTTATTGTAAATATAAATGGCAGTTTTTAGTGTTTTTTTTTTCTTTTTTGGTGTTTTTTGGAAGTTTCCCATGGCTTCAATTATTTTATATTTGTTGTTTAACTTCTCTGGAGTTACATACCTTGAATTTTCTGAGATTTTCTCACATAAATCTATTATTTTTTCCATTCTTTGCTTCTTTTTGTTCTTTAATAAAGCTTTTAGTTTATGACTCATTCATAGCAACAATGAAAGTGTAAGATAAAGATGTCAAACAACCTTGTAATTTGATTATCGTGTTTTAGAAGTTGTAAATTTTGTGTTTAATCTGCAAATAAGACTAAAATGTAAATGTCACAATTAAATAATGATCCAAGTGTGCATTTTTTTCTGTAGATATTCCAACTTGTGTGACTTTGACATTAAAATGTTTTTTAAAAAATTTATTATTATTATTTTGTGACTGTTTGGGGCAGATAATCAGTTTGTGTTGTTGCACACTGCAGTCCAACAGAGGGCAAAGTGCAACTGTATCGTTTATCATCTCGTTTCTTCCTCCTCCCACCGTCTGTCAAGTCTCCACCTCAGTCRTTTTTTTTTTATAAAACAGTCAGACTTTCACTCATCCGTGCTGAGAATTTATCGTCTCGTTTCCCTGCGGCCGAGGTAAGCGTCTTTATTCTGTTTCTTGACAAGTTGCAGAAAAGTTTGACAGTTTTCCTGCGAAGCGTGTTGATGGTAAACCTCATAAACCTCCCCTCGCTTTTAGTGAACGTCTCGCTGACAGATCCCAGCTCTGAGGTGTTCACTCTGGGATTTAATCTCRTATTAAACTCTTAATATCTGAATGAACTGAGAGGTGAATCTCTGCGGGGATCAGCCTGGAGATTAGTTTCTGTAAAACTAAACAAGAAGCTTTTATTGGAGTTTTTATTCTGTTTCTGACACTTAATTAACAACAGTTTGATCCAACTGTGTCTCCGAGCTGCAGGATGTTTTACTGTGAGCTCAGTTGTAATAAACACAATAAATTTGCCTCTTTTTTTTCTAAGTGGAATATGCGGCCAGTTTTCAGAGCAGTTCTCTGAAAGCTGTGGTTCAGTTCTTGTATTTGTTTTCCCAGGCAGAGCTGAAAACTTCTGGAGAAAAAAAAAAACAGCCAGAAATCTATAATTGGGGAGAAGTTGCTCGTTAAATTTGCTCGCCCAACCCTGACAGCTGCTTCCCAAAAAGGATTCTCTGGAAAACATCGAAGCATGGGAGCAAAAAAAAAAAAAAGACAATTTTTTTTTCTTTTAAGTTTGAACCGATAACTGTGTGTTTGCTCAGAGGAACAACAGAAATGACGTCGTCTCTGATCTCACTGGTTGTTTTCACATGGTTTTGTCGCGCTCAGCAGTTGGTCTGAGTCTTTCTTCTTGTTTTCTGACCCTTTAAAGGTTTTTCTCCCGTCTTGTTTTGGAAATAATTTGTGTTTTCTCTCAGCTGCTCGTGCAGATCTGCCTCCATGTTTGTGTCGTTTGTTTTCAACTGTCGTGTCTTTTTGTTGTCTTTTTGTTAACGTTTTGCTTAGTTTGGCAACTGTTTTAATCCTAACATCGTATGTTCCTTTTCTTGTGTTTTTATTTATTTATTTTTAATTTTTTGTTTCACTTTGGTCTTTTTCAGTATTTTTGTGTGTCTGGGAGTAGGGCTGCCACAAACGATTATTTTAATAATCGATTAATCACCGATTATTTATTCGATTAGTCGACTAAT